ATATATATATATATATATATATATATATATATATATATATATATAAATATGAATGTTTCTGTTCAGTGCCCTGAGATAACTTCTGTTGTGACTCGGCGCTATATAAATACAATGACGTGAATAGAAAATAGATTACTTTAAATGATCTGCTGTGAAGGTGGGTGCAAAGAGACCCCATAAAAAGTCCTGGTATTTATGAAATGACTAAATTGTATTTAAGTTCAACGTAGCAAAGGTATGAAGGAACCAGCACTTGCTTTTCACTGCATCACACTTGGAATCACAACTCATGTTTGCCTAAATGTCCCGACATCCCGAGCGTCTGCAGAGTTTTCGACTCTGTGGTTTACTGAGAAACGTCCACCAGAGTGGACACAATGTGGGACGGAGTCACTGTCAGCAGAGAAACACAGCTGTACATGAAACACAAAAGAAACCCTCCAACTCTTCCTTGGTTATGCCCTATTTGTCATACTGTGCAGAAATATGGGGAAATGCTAATAAAACAACTATTGACATATTAGTAAAGTTACAAAAAAAAGCAATTAGGCTTATTAATAAAGTGGGATATTGTGAACCAACTAATAAACTTTTTATTCAAAGTAACACCTTAAAAGTTAATGACATTGTAAATATAAAAATACTGGAAATAATGTATAAAGCAGTGAATAAAAGTCTTCCTTCTGGAATTCAGAAATTATTTAAGTTAAGGGAGAGTAATTATAATTTACGAGGTTTATTAATATTTGAACAAGCTAAAGAGAAAAGTAAAGTAAAATCTAGATGCATTTCAGTTGTCGGTGTGAAATTGTGGAATGAATTGAATGATGAACTCAAATTATGTGCTTTTTTGTTGAGCTTTAAAAGGTCCATAAAAGGTAAAATTATAAAAGCTTATACTGTTATGTAGATGTATATATGTAGTTTAACAATGTATGTATGTAATGTAAGTATGCTTATACATATACACAGACATATTTTTATATAGATATGTGTATATGTAATGTATGTATATATATGGACAGTAGATATATTTTATTATTGAAGACTGCTGAGTCTATGAACAGGGTAGGCAAGTATAAGCCTCGGCTTCAGCCTATTCCTTTTTTGGTAAATTATTGATTTGTCAAAAGTAGTCTATATTGTTTTCCTTTTTCTGTAATGGTAATTTACCAAAATAAAGTTGAGTTGAG